CCACCTCGGTCACCAGACCCTTCATGTTGTGACTACTTTTTATGGGGCTATTTAAAATCCAAAGTTTACATAGACAAACTGCAAACTCTTGAAGCTCTTTCAGAACTCATAACGCGCGAAATTGAAAGGATTCCTCGTGCCATGCTAGAAAGGAGTATGGATGATTTTGCAATCCGTCTCCAAGAATGCATCGACAAGAATGGACGCCACCTAACTGATGTAATTTTTCGCACCTGACTATCTTATGTTACTTAAATGGCATCATTCCACTAATGTATTAAAATAATAAATTTTGATGTGTGTTTAAAAATGAAAGTTTGTAATTTTTTTCAAAAACACCATACTTCATTGCCGGACCCTGTATTAATCTTCGTGGAGAATACTTCGAAAAACAATAAAGTCATTTAAAACTACCTACCTTGTTGTTTTATTTCCATATGCAAAACTGAAAAGACATCCCTCGTATAATGAAGGCTTAACAACCAGGTAGTCGCGGCCACAGCAACCACTTTGCTGAGGCTGTCCGTCGCATCGGAACAGTAGCTCTGCTTACCATAATTTTTAATGAGCACCTATATTTTATTAAAGGAGTATAACTCAATAGCGCCAGTCGAAACGGTGATTTTATAGCATTTTTGTCTACACGCTATCATAAAATCCCGGTTTTACTATTGTAACGGACGTTTTGTGCAGCAAAATTAAATTACAGAGAATAAAAGTATCCAGCTGGATGATATTTTATGATCCTCAGTTTCTCGAGGATGTCTATTGCTCTCACTGAAATGTCGCCGTCGAAGCTGTACAAGGTTCATAAAAAAACAGCTGTTGCGCACAAGATTGAGACAGTTTATTTATCGCAGAAGCAATTTCTGCTATACTACTTTATATTGAAATTGAAAATAACATAGTGCGAAATGAGAAACTCCGAAACACGAGTAATATAGGAGCCGCTTCCCACTTCAGTTGGCCCAACTATTGAAATCTTAGTTTTTTTTCTTATCAAACACAAATAATAAAAATGATGCAGGGTGTTATAGGTTTAAAATATTAAAAATGAATATTTTGATAATATATAGTAGAAAACAGCAACTTTATCACTTCCTAATCAAATTTGCAGCATAAAAATAGCATGTTGCAATTACAGCATATCAACCTATTTTCATTTCAATGCAAAATAAGTCTAAAACGCGTAGGTGGCTGTGAAAAATAAAAGCCATGACAATTGTTTTTATTAATCACAGCTGTCAGAATACGTTTAAAATAGTTTTGGATAGTTAGGATTTTCAAAATCGGTAGGAGATATAAGGTAACTGATTCAGTCAATATTAAGCCACGATATGTGAAAAAAAGTAGTATCACAAATGCCGACCGAAGAAGAATAATCGTGAAAAACAGGCGTGCCAATTATTTACAATTAAGTGCTCTGTGGAGTGACGCTGTTGGAAGGAGAATTTCGAAGTCCACAACTCATAGGGAGGCACAAAAACTAGGATTTAGCACTTGCAAGGTAAGTTTTCTTATAAAAAAAGTGAACTAGAAATCCTAAAGTTGCACAACTTATTTATATCCCAAAGAAAAGCCACTATTAACTCCACTGCAAAATAAAAATCGGCTTAGATGGGCTAAAGAACATAGACAATGGACACCTCAACAATGGTGTGCAATACAATGGAGTGATGAAGCCCGATTCGAAGTTTGTGTTGGTGGCAGTCGCAGTAGAGTTATTCGCAAAAAAAATGAAGCATTCCATGTTGACTGTCTGAAGAGAAAAGTGAAATTTCCACCATCCATTATGGTTTGGGGCAGTATGTCATCAAAAGGAGTAGGAAAACTTCATTTTATTGATGGAAATGTGGATACAAACAAATATTTGGCAATTTTAGAAGAATCGCTTTTACAATTGATGGAAGAATGTTTGACATCCGGCCAAGATTTTGTATTTCAGCAAGATGGTGCAGCGTGCCATACCTCAAAAAAGGCTATAAAATGGATGGAAGAAAATAATGTATCACTTTTGAAATGGGTTTCTAGCAGTCCAGATCTGTCACCTATTGAAACTTTGTGGCACGCGATGAAACAGGTTCTACGACAACATCCTGCTCGTACAATCACCGAACTGAGACAAAAGCTTCAAGAAATATGAGATTGTTTTACACCAAATGTTTGTCAAAACTTGGTTAACACTATGCCCGAAAGAATTTCAGCCGTAATAAAAAATAAAGGTGATGTTACCCAATGGTATTCTTCCAATTGTTGCTTTGTTAACTTCGCGCATTTATTCGCAGATTGTTCAGATGTTCTATTAGTTATAGGTCTAAGTGATTTCCAATATATATTTTTTACGACTAGAGTGTATCTAAAATTTTTTTGAGAAAATAAATTGTTTTAGAAGTAAATAGTTTCGTCATGTTTAGTTTATAAAGGCATATTTTGGTACAAATCTTGAAAGTGGGCCAACTGAAGTGGGAAGGGGCTCGTATTCTATTTTTTTATACTGAAGCAGAAGCCTAAATACCAAGCGACTGCGGCTACTATGCGGAGTTATTTTTTGCAAATTAGAGTGATGCATTTTTATACAGTATGTTATCATTATTAATACTATAAAATTCAAGTATTATCGAGAGTGTAATCAGTGTAAATGGCATATAGTCGTCCATAACATGAAGTGGCGTATCTCATTTTTTCCAATTTTACACGACAGCGTCTTAAATATTTTCATGCGATTTGAGTTGCTGCTGACAAAAAGGTATTATTGCTACACAATTGAATTTGTGGGTATATCTGCTTATGTTTACAAGCTTTTCGAAAATGAGTAACGATTAACCCATTTTTCATTTTATGTGTTCAAAATTTCCTGAAAAGGGAGATACGTCATTCCGTGAAACTGAAGGGACATAATTCATAGAATAAAGACTTAATTAGGTCCGTGTTATATTACAGTGGTGAAAAATAAAAACATGAAATTAAAAAAAAAATTTTTTGATTACAAGACAAAATGGTTACAAAAAGGGGAACAGTGAATATTATGGCGAAATAAGTGCCGCAGTATCTAAAACTATCTAACTCGCTATCATAGTAAATATGGCAGCACAAAAAAGATATTCACTCAAATAATAATAATAATATAATAATATCTGTTAAAGATGAACAAAATAATAATTAGTATGTCATCTATTACTCATAAAGAAGATTTAAATACTAAGAATCTTTGGTATTCTGGAAAACGATCAACCGGTCTATATCCCTTTCATACAGCGACTTCGAAAGTATATATTTTTCCGTAGTAATTCTTCTTGACTCTGCATTCAGAACCTCGAGGGGAATATCTGTTAAATTCAATTTTGTTTTTTTAATCCAAAAAAGCTCTATTCGTGTTGCAGGTGAAATATTGTTAGCGGCTTATGTTTTTTAACCTTTATTTCGATAAAATTGGGCCATTTTATAGGCTCCCCTGTATCTGATGTTCTTATAGATGAAATTCGGAACTCTCGGGACATTTTTCTAAAATCTTGAATAACTGGAGGCAGTTGGGTAGTTATTATAATTTCACCTACTTTGAACAACGCTGTAGAAACAGAATCTCTTTCATTTGTACCATGAAATGACACAAAATAGTATAATGAGATATCTTTTATATTCAAAGTTTTAGCTACAGCGCATAAAAACTAAACTATCCGGGCACTCGGCAAGACAAACAGATTGAATCAAAGTATAGGATGTAGGTCAAGACAAGTTAAAAAGATAGATTCGTCAAAGTGGGTACAGTGATAAAATTAAAACTACAATTTTACGAACTGGCCTAACTTGATAAGCCATACGCTGTAAAATTATATGTACATATACAGGGTGTCCGCGAAGTTGGGGTTTTCCTTTACACGACGTGTAGATATTGAAAACATAAGCAATTTTTCTTAGTACCATATACACCAATGTCTTAAGGGAACCGAGATAAAGGGCTCTGCAACTTAAAAAATATCTGAATACCGTACTGTAGCCGCGACCCGCGACATCCCCGAGTGGTACAAGGTCACTGGCTCAACCCGACGACAGAACTGGGCCGGGGTCAGTGTGTCAGGTCAGTATGCAACCTTCAACCGTCGGTTACGGTCACGCGTGTAGAGGTAAACGAACCCGTATAATCGATTGCGTTTCAAAAAACAACAAGCACCAGAGACGTGGCTAGAGAAGTGCAAGTACCAAAAACTAAAGTGTGGCAAACGCTGCGTGAAGAGGGGCCCTTCAACTTGACGATTCTCCAGCAAGAGTGCGGTTTTGTGAGTGGTTGTTGCATCAACATGACAATAATCCGGACTTGTTAGAAGATGTTCCATTAAGTGTAAGACAATCAATGTGGTTTCGGCACGATGGTGCACCGCCCCATTTTAGACGCGAAGTGCGTGAGTTTTTGAATGAATTATTTCCAAATAAGTGTATCGGACGTAATGGACCCGTAGCGTGGCCTCCGCGATCTCCAGACTTAACACCATGTGATTTTTTTCTTTGGGGAGAAATGAAACGCTTAGTGTACAAAACTGAAATGCATACGGTTGACGAACTTCGTCTCAGAATTGAACAAGCTGGTGCTTTCATTCGGGGGAGGGACTCCATTCTCAAAGCCTGCACCGATGCTTGGCTACGTCGTGCACGCACCTGTGTTTTTGAATCAAACGGCGATCACTTCGAACAATACCTATAAAGTACGTTTACCTAAAAACTGAAAACGCGGCAACGCCGTCATATTTGTTACCTCTGTTCGTGGTCTGCACCACCGCCGGCGTCTGCTTGGTAGCGCATCAACTGATTTCATTTTCTGTTAGAGCGGTATGATTTCGGGCAGAGACGTACTTAGCCCTTCTCGTAAACTGGAGAGTGAGTACTTTTTTTTTACTTGGTCGCCCTCGTTTCATTACACATTACCTTTGTTATTTCAAGGGAAAGGAAAACCCCAACTTTGCGGACACCCTGTATTTTATGATTTTAAAAAGTATTTCCTGTTTCAGCTAGGCATCCAACCTACGAATGTTGGACTCCCAGTAGGCCAAAGATAGACAATAAAATGAAGGCCGACCCAGAGTTGATGTTCGAATGTTTGATCTACATAAACGCCTACTACTACCCAGTGTATGCCGTCAGTGAAGCCGTTATGACACTGGCCAAGTACTTGAGCGAAAAAAAGGATACACCGAATTTGGGCCAAGATGCTATTGTTTGCTTCGCCAGGATATTTGTCGATTTATTCAAGATTCTGCTGTTCAATAGGTTCAAGGAGACTTGCAGAAGTAAGTAACATAAAATCTAGTTGATAGGTACAGCAAAGAAAAAAAAAATTGTTCCGAAGAAATATATATATATATATATATATATATATATATAAAGAGAAAATTATCATGCGGAGAAAGGTATATAACAAAAATAGGAAAATAATGGGCAAAACCCGCAAAAAGTGGATTCGAGCAGAAAATAGGATAGGTAACCCGAGCGATACGTATTTCTGCTGGTTGGCTTCATCAGGCCCGAAATGAATGCACATATGCAACTACAAAAGTAGATACACATGTGTATCGGGCCTGATGAAGCCAACCAGCAGAAATACGTATCGCTCGGGTTACCTATCCTATTATCTGCTCGAATCCACTTTTTGCAGATTTTGTCCATTATTTTCCTATTTTTGTTATATACCTTTCTCCACATGATAATTTTCTCTTTATAAATCCTTTGGGCTTAAAGTACCACAGCAAGTGGCTATAACCGGCCGCGTGGTTGTGGTTATTTGTCGCCTTGAACATTCGAGGTGTTCTAGCCATTTTATACTACAATGTGTAGGTTGGCTCTTGTTGTGGACTTCGTGTGTCTTTTTTTTCCTCTCCATCTTCGTTTCCTCAGGTTACACCCGTATCCGGATGTGTGGGCATGTGTATCTACTTTTGTAGTTGCATATGTGCATTCATTTCGGGTCTGATGAAGCCAACCAGCAAAAATACGTATCGCTCGGGTTACCTATCCTATTTTCTGCTCGAATCAACTTTTTGCGGATTTTGCCAATTATTTTCCTATTTTTGTTATATATATATATATATATATATATATATACAGGGTTATCCAAATTAAGTGTCCACCATTGGTAACTTTGTTATTAGTAAAAATACAAAGTTGTTTAAATTAGCAAACTAGTAGCATTTTTAACGCTGGTAAAAATGAGAAATAAAAAAAAACAATTGAGAGTCGTTATTTTGATTTTTTTCAGTAAAATAACATTTTTTTAAATGGAAACCCCTGTATATTATATTTTTTTCTGTTAAAGCATCAAATTTTAAACAAAAAAGTTCATAATGACTTTTCCGCTAAAGTCAAAAATAAAGTCAAAATAACGATAAATATTTTTAATTATTTGCAGTATTATAATATTAAGACGGCTATGAAAACAACATGGCGTTCGCGATTTGACAGCATTAAGATAAGCGACAAATTGTTAAACTGGACATACTCGCAACTAGAAGGCTTTGGAAAACAATGATAAAATCAAATAATGTCAAACATTAGTGTAAATACTTGTTTATAAGCTTTATTGTGTCATTAATTTAAAGAAAAATATTCTCCCATGAAGAAAAGTGTGATATGTTAGAATGCTATTTAGTGTGCAGAAAATCCTCCTTGAGAGCAAGAGAATACTACAGTGAATTATATCCCGCTCGCATTCAACCGTATGAACGATATTTTCTGACACTTTATCGAAAATTTAGGGGCAACGAAAATGTTTTTGCTAAAACAAGGGCAAAAAAAGAATTCATAATAAGCGAGGCCACGGAAATTGCAGTTATTGGATATTTTGAAGCTTATCGTGAGAATTCAATAGCAGATATTCTCAAGGAATCTAATTTCAGTTATGGTACTGTTCAAAGGATTTTAAAAAAATACAAATTTATTTCGTATAAGTACCGACCAGTTCAAACGCTTTTGGCAGGGGATCCAGAGAGAAGACTTGTTTTTTGCCATTGGTATCTTAGCTTCTGTCGCCAAAATGTAAATAACTTTCGTTACCTTTTATGGACAGATGAATCAAATTTTTCAAATTCTGGAATGTTTAATAGAAAAAACCACCATTATTGGTCAAGAGAAAATCTTTTGTTAGTACATCCAAGAGGCCCACAAGTCCGTTTCAGTTTCAACGTTTGGTGCGGTATAATTGGTTCAAAAATTGTTGGCCCGTTCTTTTATGAGGGAACCCTAACTGGTGAAAGATATGTGGAATTTATGTCAGAAATTCTGACTAATTTCTTAGACGAACTGGATCTTATAAGTAGACATCATCTGCATTTTCAGCAAGATGGCGCACCTGCCCACAACTCCAGAGGTACTTATCATTTTCTAAGTACTACTTTTAATGATCAGTGGATAGGAACAAATGGCCCAATACAGTGGCCTCCCAGATCACCAGATCTAAACCCACTTGATTATTTCTTGTGGGGTTACTTAAAGAACCAAATTTACAAGCGAAGGTACGATAACCTTGACGCGTTAAAGACTGCAGTTAAGGAAAAGATAACCCAGATAGATGGTAGGACCATACTTAAGACAGTTCGAGCAGTTGAAAAACGTGCCCAAAAATGTATTGAAGAACAAGGTGGTGTTTTCGAGCATCTTCTTTAAAAAAAATTGTTATTGTATTTTGTAAGATTATAAGTTGATGTTGAAAATAAAGTTTGTCGATACAATTTAATTGTTTCAGATTGGAGGCCATAACTTCAACAATTTGTAACCTAGGAGAAAAGTTATTGTAAGCTTTTTTGTTTAAAATTTGATGCTTTAACAGAAAAAAATATAATATACAGGAGTTTCCATTTAAAAAAATGTTATTTTTCTGAAAAAAATCAAAATAACGACTCTCAATTGTTTTTTTTTATTTCTCATTTTTACCAGCGTTAAAAATGCTACTAGTTTGCTAATTCAAACAACTTTGTATTTTCACTAATAACAAAGTTACTAATGGTGGACACTTAATTTGGATAACCCTGTATATGGATTATAGTGAAAAAGAAAGTATATATATTATACTTTCTTTTTCACTTTAATCCATTACGGTATAGTAACAGCTGATTATCTAATAATATTTCAAGTGTCTTCGTATCGACAAGTGACACATAATTCTGACGAATGCGTCAACGCCAAGTCTGGTAGGAATAAAATAAGACAAAGCGTTTTTGACAATATCATCTCTACTTTTTAGGACTTGAACCACCATATGATTTTAAAGGGCAATAACTGACCGAATTGATACAGGTTTGAGTCCCTGAATCAGGTCTGAACATTACTCAAGTATTTCTAACAAGTGTATGTATGGTTTGTCATTTATTTTCTTCTTGTAACTAAGCTCCTATTATATTGACATGTGTAAGCACCTTCTGTGTATTAACACCAATAAACCATTATTATTATTATTATTATTATTATTATTATTATTAGCAAAATGGTGTGTTAACGTTAACATTAAATAGAGTGCTCCTACTTTTTTATATCTGTTTAAAAAGAAACGTTTTATACAAAATTTATTAAGTCTAATATACAATTTTTCGTACCATATCCTTTTTATCTCAAATTTATAGTCGTAATATAAAATTTTTCATGCGATATTTTTTTGTCTCGGAATAGTGCTATCGAATAAAATTACTTTTTAATAGAACATACACCTTGTAACCTTTTAGTGAAAATTATGTTCAGTTTTTCTTTGAAGTCAATCTAGTGAAAATTATGTTCACTTTTTCGTTGAAATTAATCAATTTGGTCACACTGTATTCGGTGCACTGGTTACACAGTTTATCGCCCAGATTGTGTCTCAATTGTACCAACCCGAAATGCTAGCAGCCGGGATTTTGGATAGCTGACACAAGCGAGACACAGTGCTCACTGGCCTGGAAGCCATCCATCAGGGTTGGCGGTGAATCCATGCTGTTGGTTTCATGCCCAGGCCAGCATAATTTGTCTCCGATTGCAGCTATTGAAATGAAAACCGCACACATCCCCCGTTTTAAGGGTGAGGGGAATGGTATAACGTCTGGTACCGGATAATGGAGGGATGGCACATACTGGTGTAATAGCCCGAGAATTGTTGTAAATGGTGTTCCAATAGGTATCTACTTGTTTTCAAATAAAACCAACGATTTTGGGGTAACGCTTCATAAATAATATTTTTCAAATAACCCCTGGCTGTTTCTTCAGGTGCCCATTCCTCAGCAAAGTTTTCAGTAAACTTTTGATCAATTCCATCAATAACTTGAGGAATGTCTTGCTTCACATCTTTAATCGACTGGATAGACCTTATTCCTGAGGACTCCACAAAAACAGTCTTAGCGAGGTTATATTGTATGATCTCATAAGCCGGCAGAAATATACCCTTATAAGCAGCAATGTTTATATTACTAGCCTTAAATAAATGAAAAAGTTCTGGCATTATTGTTGTTTATTCGATGAACTAAGACGACCTAGGGAAAGATTACTTTTTTAGATATACTAAGTGACATAAATCCGAACACCCAGTTTAAATGGTTTTATTTTAATAAAATTTTGTATAAGTACTTAATGAAGCATAATAAGTAAATGATAAAAATTTCAAAATAATTGCACTGCTTTAAAGCCCTTTGACCTTTAATAATGTGTTGATGCACCCTGATGTGCTACGCATTCTCCAACGCGCCTAGGCATGCTTCTGATCAAGTGGTCAATGTCCTCCTGTGGTATCTCATTCCAGGCAACCACCAACTCCTCTCGAAGTGCTTCTAGAGTCTAAGGAGGACGTTGCAAATTGAGCAATCTCCTACCCATCATATCTCACACGTGCTCAATTGGGGATAAGTCGGGAGATCTTGGTGGCCATGGTAACATTATGTTGAAAGAAGTCTATTGTGACTCTTACAACATGTGGTCGGGCATTATCTTGTTGGAAAGTTGGATCGGCCAGGGTGTCAAGATAGGGTAAAAGATGGGGTTCTAGAACTTCGTGGATATAACGCTGCGCGTTCATGTTACCTCTGATGAAGATTAAAGGTGACCTGGAACCATAAGCTATAGCACCCCAAACCATAACTCCAACAGTGTGATGAACATGTCTTTCAACAAAAACTGTGGATTCCTCCTTTCACCACGTCGCTTTCTAACCCTGGCACGACCATCGTGCATGCCTAACCAAAATTGAGACTCGTCACTAAAGACAATACTGTTCCATTCCTGATCCCAGAGTGACCGTTGTCTGCACCACTCAAGGCGATTACGTCGGTGTTCTCGAGTT